AGAAAGGATTGGAGGACGTGAACGTGAGAGTCTTTCTCAGTAAAAGGTGTTTTGCGGCTTGGGAGCCCAGTTAAGGGATTTTTTGTGAAGGGCGATCCATGAGAAATAAACATCATTGAACATCTATCACCATGCAGCCACCGGGATGTTCTGAACGTATGGTCCCAAGATGTTCCAAGACATGGTTTTGGCGGTGTGAAATCTGCGTGTTGTACTATGTGTGTTGTTTCTGTGCAAACAGAAACGTGTGAAGACTCCGAATTGCGCCCGATCTGTTGGGCTCCCAGGGCGGCATGGAGAAGCCATGATATTTGCTGAACATCATATTCATTCATCATGTTTTTGAATGTAAGCATTTTAGGAAATGTGTGGGCAATGATGAATCTCAAAATACCTCAAATGATGTTCAGATGTTCATGTTTGGTTTGGTCATGTAACCATGCTCGTCATGTTTGGGGTTGCTCACCTGTCGGAGAATGGACCATCTGGGGCGACCGATGAGAACGACTATCAGTACCACGCTGCGCCCTCCCCGCGTGCGGCGGTCGCATGCGGTCTGATGCGGTTCCCCGCTGCAGGATGTCTCTGCGCTCTTAGACCGAGAGTCCACCACGCGGCAATCAGAGGCGAGACTTTGTATTCTTGCCTTTCCCCAATCGAGAGTGGTCAGTGGCCAGTCACAGTGTCACAGTGGTTGGAAGAGTTGCCTCCTACTTATCATCGTGTCAGTGGTGTCAAGTGGTGTCAAGGATTTAGTGTATGTGGGTTGACCGTTTCATACCTTCTCCTTTCCACTGCATCCGCCCTGTGTATCGGATTCGACACTCCATGAGACTGCCATATACCTGGACCCTCTAAGGGGTGCCCAATGGAAGCCTATAGGGGACACCCCTTGGAGGGTCCTGGTATGCATACATTGACCCCCCAGTCAACACCCCGTGGCCGTTTCTCGGCAGTCCTATGGCAGTCCCAGACGGGTCGTGTTTGGGTTATACATTCTTCGTCCAAACCCGAAGACCGAACTTCACCCTTCCCAAACACTCCAGTCCGGCTGCCATATGCCGATCAGTTGGGGTGGGTTGGGGGGTCAATGTACGCACATATGGCAGTCCCATGGAGTGTTTGGGCTTGTAGGTTGACCGTTTCACCATGGTCGTCTATTCTGTGCGAGTGAAACCCGTGTGGGAAAACAACATCCACAGCCATGTGGACTCGGGGCGACGGACACAGACCAACACTGCAACATACTGCAACAAAGGACGACAGCAGAAGGCCAAGATGCAGTTTTTTTCACTCCAGTCGTTGGGCCGGAACAAGACCTGTCAACGCTTGCCGATGTTGTTTGTTCTTGGACAGGACCCAATAGAGAGGGAGAAGTCCAGAGGATTGAGACCATTCGTGCTGACAAGTTCGGTTGATGAATGGCTTGTGACACGTCTTCTATGGCAATTCGTGCTCCGCGCTTGACATTGGAATGCACCGAAACGCTGGCAACGGCGGACTGGTCGGTTGTCCAACCGCACCCAAGCGACCGGGAACCGAGGGGCGACCGGGTCGGACGCTTTTCGTCCACCTCTCTGGAGCATTCGGTGCAGGTGAAATCGACCTGCGCGCCGATCCAAAGCTACCCTTTCTGGTTGGTGGGAAAAAAAACCATCTGAAAGTTGGGGATCCATCTCCATCTCCCACACAAGTTCTTGATTTCTTGGAATTATGACTGTGGGGTGGTTTACCATGCACTCCAAAACATGTGCAACATACGTTCAACATCACATTACTTGCGGGTCCGTCCGGCTCCGCCACAACACCTCTAGTAATTCTAGTATAGTAGTATGTGAGGGTGATAATATGACACTAATTCACACGAATTCACATGTGAGTTGCATGTGGCACACAACACATGTAAGTAAAGAAGAACATCACTAGTTTTGAACGAGGCCTTTTGTAACTTACTGATACTAGGTTCGGATAGACATATTATATATACACACATAATTCAAGTCTTCAGGATTGTTCATGAATCTCGGATTGGTGAGGATAAACCTGGATGTATGAAAGTCTTTCCCATTGGCCTCTTCTACTTCCCATTGTAGTCTTGAAATACGGAGACCCCCAGTGCTCGGGTGTATTATTGGCATTGGTTGTCAGCCGCTATGCGTATGAGGAGTAAAAGCACTGGGGGCGTGTCCCCTTTGAGCCAACATCTCAGCCAATGGGTTGACTGGTCTACGTTTTCAAGGGCGGGTGTCCCTGGAACCGTATCCCAAAAGGGAACATGGGATGTCAGCACGGTGTTTCATGGAGCACATGTCTTCGTCGCTACCGGCGCCGTAAAGCGGGCGCGGCAGGTCAATGCCATGCGCCGGAGTCCAAGAAATTCACCGGGGAATGATCTGAAATAGATGTAGACCAAAAGAGCATCTCCCTCCCGTTTTACATCTCCAAATCGGGCGCTTGATTGATGAACAACCACAGTCAGCATCAAAAAATCGCGTCCCGCAGCAACATTCCCTTCCCGGAGTTCTTGTGCGAAGCTGTTTCTTTGTGTCGCGCGTCCGGTTCCTTCTGTGTCGCGTTTTCGCAGCATTCTCCCCCGGTTCGAGAGTGGACTAAAAACGATCGAACGCACGGGACTTCACGGTCGACCGTCGTTGATGCGAAAGCAAGCCGTCTTTGCCCTTGGAACATGGTTGATGCGCGGTAAGCTTTTCTGGGTCAACGGAGTGAAGGAGGATGTTTGTCCCATTTCAGTGTCACGTTGTTTGCATCGGAGACGAAGGCGCCGAGACCGGCTTCGATACTTGGGTCCTTGGGGTGTCGGTCCCGACACCAGTTTTCTGACAAACCTGGGTCTTCCAGGTTGGCTGGAAGACGTTCCTTATTAAAGGTATTGCATCATCACAATCCTCGGGCATTCTGCTCATAAGGAGCAGGGGCTGTACAGTACACCAAGCCAGGACCAGGCAAAGAGATATGACCAGCTGAAAGTACATGGTAGTTCAATGTAACCAGCCGGGCTACCAACAGCCCTTCATTCTGACACCGGACCTTTGTATTCGAGTGTATTGCACAAATCCAAAGATATGCCATCGTGGAATATGCATAATGCATGAAAGACAAAAGTATCTATACTGACAGAATGCATTTTAGGAGCGCTACCCATTTGGCCTCCTACTTGGGCCCTCCAAGCCTACATAACAGTCTCCAATCACCTCAGAAGGTATGTGGATCCATCTAGGCCCACATCTCTCGGCCGACGTTCTGACCACCGATCCACATCCCTCGGAAAACCGCTTTGAGCTGGGGAGTTCATACCGGTTCCCTCCCAGTCGTTCTTCGGACGGCGTGCGTCGTCCCACACCGTCCGCGGTGGGATGGAACGGGACCAACTCCGTTGGGTCGAGCTCCAAAGGTCAAGAGTGGCGCTCGGAGATTGCCTACACAGCGAAGGAGAGCTTTGCTTTCGGCTTTCGAAGGCATCACATCCAGGGCGGACATCTGGGCGTTCACCAGGAGCTTTTTGAGACGTTAATCATCGGATGAAGCTTCAGATAGGACCTTCGGACCTGGAATGGGATGTATTTGTTTTTTCATTTCGGGGTTGGCCGGGTTGGCTGAGCCTTTGGGATTTATTTGGGAATGAAGTTATGAAGCTCTCAAAAAGTCGTGACGAAGTATGCATGCTAGCGAGATCGATTGCGATAAGGTAAACAAAGAAGGACGTATCAATACGTGTCACATGTATTATGCGCCTTTGGACTGAGCATTACACGAACCTCAGGATGGCGCACCCGTCAACCCCATGAATCACTGTCATGCAGTAGGGTGCCATGGCGTGTCAAGACCTGCTGTTTCATCTCAGATGACGCTTGCTGTTAGAGCTTCGTGTCGTACCCACAAGCTGTCTTAACCCACTTGCTTCTGCTATGACCTCCAGAAAGCGGCCATCGGTTCCAAGAACAGCCTGCTGCGGCACACGTCAGCCATAGAAACCGGCAAAACTTGGCAAAACCATTGACAAACTGGTTCAATATCCCTCCAGTTGTACCTCAGATAGTATTTGGACCCTCTAAACCCGCCCCAAACACCTTAGAAGGTACTTGGAGCCCTAGGCTATTTGACCTACAAGGCCCACACGAGCACGAACTGATCAGCGCAGAAGGCTTGAAGGGTTGTGTTTTTCCGAACCGCAGTGACCCGAGGCCCGGCAGTTGCAGCAAAAACGGCTGTTGCGGGCGGTTTGGGACTTCTAGTCGGCCTCCCAAAACCCGGACACGCAGCGCAACCTGGTCGTTTTTTGGTCAAAAGTCTATGGCGTAGTCATTTGCAGGTAGCCTGGGTGAAGAGGATGTCCTCAACAGCTCCATGCAACTTCAAAACGCACGCGTTTTCTGCTCGCAGGTTAGTACAATGGCCTGGGTAGTCCTCTTTCGCCTGGCGAAGTTGGTGTCGGGACTTTTGTGTTGGTGTATCCGATCGACCCCGGTTGCAATCTGCGAGAAGCTCCTGTTGGCGATGCAGAAGTCCACAAGCGAAAGTTTTTGCCTCACCAATGACCAATGGAGACTTGTTCATGATGTTCATCACCTCCAAGCCTTCCTGAGTATGTGAGGCAACGCTCACTTTGAAGGTTAGTAGGGCAAAGCACTACAAGGAAGGAAGTGACTGGAAACGGAGCCAATGAACGTACACACACACACACACGCGTAGGCTTTTTGAATGAGTTTCATGTTGAGTTACCTCTCATGCTGACATAAGATTGTATAATGATAACAAGTATCAATACTGAGGGCTGTGAAAACTGACTCGATGGGTTGACCCAGTCTCATCAGACGGGTCACCAAAAATGGCCAGTGTGTGTGTTCTTTCAAACCCCCGATCCAAATGGACCGGACTGCGAGGTGTTTTGACCAATTCCGCGTGCGCCGCATTCCGCTCGCGCGCCACGAGCTGTGCGACCAGAGGACATCGCGGACGAGCTGCTGCAGCGGCGCCAGGAAATGGATGCCGTGAAAGAGACCCTGAAGGCTGGACCGGCTCCGCCATCCGAAGGAAGATGCGACCATCCGGGACCGCGGTCTTTGCTTGGGAGCACCGCTGTTTTCCGTTTTTATTCACGGCATGTTCCACATGAGTTCGGGGTGCTGAGGAGTTCGAGTTCGGGCATGTGGAGTGATTGATCTAGAGGGCCCCCTGAGTTCGGAAGATCAAAGAGAAAAATTAACTTTTGGGACTGCTTGGACTTTATATACTATAACTGGCACTATTTATATAGCCTCTTCCAAAGCCCTTATTGACATGGTGATGGTTTTCCATGTTGCGGTCAAAACGAGTGGTCCTGCCCAGTGGTCACTCCTGCGCCCGGCGTGTGAAACGCATGGTGCTCTCGCCCGGTCACAGGCGGTGCAGAGCCGAGAACAGGGAGGCCAGAGCCACCACTGGTGCGGTGGACGGAAGCATTTTTTGGCGGTGGGCCCTTGTGTGGCTTAGGCAAGGTGAGGAAGGTGCTATATCACTATATATATATATCATATTGTGTGGAATATAATGGTCGACCTTTGTTTCTGTCTTGGTGCTATGGACCGTGTGGACTGCATTCATTCAGTAAGGCGGATGTGTTGCTGTTGGGGCCTTTTTATACAACCAACAAGGCTGGGCCTTCCAGAAACTGTCTCCTTCATACAACAGCCATCTGTTCAGGGTCTTATGCAGTTGACAGGTGTTTGGAAGGTACCAACAGCAAGGGAGATGTGTTTGTTCTTTCCGTAAGCTCCCCAAGGAAACTCCCTATGCAGCGCCCAAACAAACGGACTGTGATGTGATAGAGTTGGCCATAGAGATACCAGCAACGTGTGATTTGGACCCTAAAAACTTGAAATTTGCTACTAGATGCTACTAGAAGTTCTTCCCTTTTGCACCGATGGTGCATGTGCACATCTTCACTTGATCTGCCTGAAACATGCTGAACGTTCGTGGTGCGAAGTGAGTCTCACCCTTGGTGCCTTGCAATCTTGCGGCGTTAGTTCGTGTGCACTGGGCACGTCGGCAGCATGGGCACGTTTGTGCGGTCTCAGGCGCGCCCATCAAGGAACTCACGGAACTCTTGGAAATCGAATGCAAGGCGCCCTCCGTCCATCCGGACCATCCGGACCGGACCATGCGGAGAACGAGAGTGGTGGGGTTTGTTTTTTTTTTTTTGCGGTTTTTAGCCAAACTGGCACATGGAATGGAACTGGCCCTTTTTAATTGGTCACTTGCTACTAGTTTCCGGATCCAACTCCATTGCGAAATGCTCACGAAGTGGTCTTTCAAAAGCCTCTGAACTGGACAAGAGGCTTACCCTTCACAGTACTCGTTAACAGGCCTGACTAGGAATCGCCACAAGCTGGTGACTTTGTTCTCCTCAAGTAATCTGAAACGGAACATGTGTCAACCGGGCACGTCCAAGCAGACTCCTGTGCGCCATGGGCAGTTCAACCCCTATGTCAGTTTTGAAACAAGAAGTTTGACCCAATGACCTATAAATTATAGTCGAGACTCAAGACCAGATACACCGTTACCCTAGCCTTCCGTTCGACCACTTAAAGAATGATTATTTACAAGGTTTTGTAGTCCCAGATCCTTAGAGTAAAGCAATGGATCTTTCGTAAGGATCATCAAATCAATGGTGGGCTAGAAATCAAGGCTTTTCGATCCAAAACCAAAGTCCTTTGGCCAGTGACCCACTTCTGCACTTCTGAAGATTGAGCAAAACTCGCTTGGTTCTAGGGGTATATGCATAAACATATCATGTATATAAATATATCCTCACAATTCCGAGGACAAACACACATGTAAGCATCCTGGCATATATATTATATTAAGTTAATATGTAACTATTATTATTGTAAACAAATCACACTTGATCCAGAAATATGCCCAAGAGAAACCCAATCTCCTTGGCCACCTCGTGAGGACCGTGAGGCTTCTTTCAAACAAATTGAGCTAATCAAAGCTCCAACAAGAAGTACCTGATCATCCACCGCCTGTTGCGTTGGTCCCAACGAAGGGCTTTCTGCAGCTGTTCTTCGACAACGACCTCCGACACGCAAGGCACGCAAGAACGATGTCGATGAACTTCGTCATCAGTGGCAGCCTCAGGGTTTTTGGTACTCCAGACTGAGAGTGGGCATGGCAAAATAGCTGTTTATTATGGTTCTATGGTAGCTTGACATACCTCATAGTCATCCATAGTCCATTTGGTTCATATTCAGACAGATGACATCCAACCCCTATGCAAAAGCACCTTTGTTGCCCTCTTGTAGCAAATGCTAGATCCAGCAAAAAATGTTTGAAAAGTCCGATTGGCCCCGATTTGCCATATCTGGATGCACGTTGGGGTGGCGAAAGGGCTGCAAACTATGGCATGCTCGGTATTTGGACATTGAACATTTGGTCCTTTGTTCCCGAACGCTGTTTTTACCCTGTGTTTTGTGATGTTCCAAATACTGGGAGAATCCCCCCAAATCTTCAAAACCCCCGGGGAGAAGGCAGTTGTTCATAGTTCCCAGACACGACCCATGTCTGTCATGTGTATATATATGCCTATACCTATATCCATTGACCCCCAAACACACCACCCCTGGCCCTTTCTCGGCAGTCCTATGACAGTCCCAGACATCAGTCGTGTCTGGGATAGTTGGTCTCCTGGTTTTCTTCTTAATCCCAGACACCTGGACCACCTGGATCTACTGGGATAGGCTTCCTCGATCCACCTGGGTGGGGGGTCTGAGATCTCACGAGACCCCGCAGCATTGGTCTTCGGCCCAGAATCGGCCGAGACCTCGCGGGGTGGGTCGGCGGATTTCTTTGGAACCGAAGACCAATGCTGCGGGGGGAGGGAGTCAGTCGTCGGCCCTCATTTTGGAAGACCGAGATGGCTTAATAGGGCACCATTAAAACATGCAAAAAGATCGGACTTTTTTGTGTCATCGTTTTGTTGACTTCAAATCTTTTGAGGACCGGTTGCCGGTGCTCGAGGTGGCCCTCCTACAGGGGAATGAAAGCTTCACCACACACGGTCTCGGCTCCCACTGAAGTTCGTGGATCACCCCATGCAAGACATTTTGCCCAGACGCTGCAAGCAGCCCTTGGTCCCTCAAAACCATAGGGATTTGAGACCCCAGACCCCTCCATATGAGGGTCCGACCCCTCCATATGAGGGTCCAGGAGCTTCTGGGTGGGTTTTTGTTGGAGTACCCCACGGAAGATCCAACAGCTGGAAAAGGATGAAAACGCTCTGTCAACCTGAAAAGGCTTCCAAACAACACAGCTCGGGGGTGAAAGAACGCCTCTCCCTGAAAGAAAACCATGGGACTTGTGTTCAGGATGGTCCGTGCCATCCTGTGAAGAAGAAGTTCTCAATCAGACGACTGAGAAAACTGTCAGATGACGGATGTTTCTTTTGCACAGCGCTAGCTGTGCGTGTGAGATCGTTGGAACCTGCATGGACCAATCATAATGGATCTTTTGCGTATACGAAGGACAGTTTTCACCTCTGGAATTTTGCACAACGACTGGGAAAAAAGCTGACAGACTTATGTTACATGATGTTCAGCTGTTCGGAAATGATAAGAAAGAAGCTGGGGTCAAAAGCCAGGAGATCATGTGTGGCGGATTCACATTCAGGTACACGGTTCTATTTACACTGCTGTTGGGTGACTCAACCTGCCAAGACTATGCTTTCGAAGGTTGCCTGTTCATTTTGCATGGCCGTTCTACGTGACCAGGCGTGGCCAGAGACAGCTGGGATCAAAACGGCAGATGTTTGGCTCAGAGATGAATCTGCTCTAGCTGTGCGCTGAGTGGCAGAGCCCAGAGCCATGGAGGAAGACATGGACTGGGCTCGGTTTGATGAGGCTTCAGTGCTCAAAGAGAGGCGCCTGCTGAGACTCTTCGTTCCTGCAAGTAGACTATGATGATCGCACGCATAGACTGAAGATAATGATCTTTTTGTCGCAGCGTGTTTTCACTCATGGCTGTTTCTTGAATTGCTAGACGCCCATTAAAAGGAAAAGGCTTTCGACGTGTGATGACTTGTTGCCCTGTTGCCTCGTCTCGAGGCGGCAGAGCGTGGCACGTCTCTTGGCGGGATCGACCGACCCGGTCGGCAAAAGACGGGCTTTCGGCGCGAGCGGTGTTTTCGGTGTCTTCAAAGAGTACTGTAGGATGACAAGACTTCAAAGAAAAGAAGTGCCTGGCAGCGCGCCTGGCAGCAACAGGGTGTTTACCTGTCCTCCTGAAGAGTGAGCAGAGAGATCCTGTTCAGTTCAGCTTCTTCAATGGAATTGTCCCTGTTTTGTGGACGGAATTGGGCGCAAAAAGCACGGAAAGAACCATGTAGGCACCCACCCGGCCACACTCCAAAAGCAACCATCACGATCTGTTGATCTCCTTTGTACTGATGACTGCTGATGAAGCGAATTGAACACATCATTTAAAAAGCATCCAAAACCTCGATATGATGGGGGGGGGGCTATTCCTTACGGGGAAAGAGGCGGATCCAACGTCCGTCTCTTCCTCCGCGCCAACGACCGGCCCGGTGCCATCCTTCGGGTCGGGTGAAGGGACTGGACCTTTGCCTTGTGGAGGGATGGCAGGTGCGAAGCGAAGGTGCGATACGCGCAGATGATTATGGCCGTCCGAAGAGAGAAGCATAGCCAAGATATCACCATTGTTCCAGCAGGTTTTGTTGGGGATTTCTTTGGCAATGGATTCCGTCCGGTCTGAAGAAAGGGGTTTCATGGCCGGTCAAACGGTTCGATGATGTAACACATATGCTGCCCACCAGCCGATGGCCGGGAAAGCATGGTGCCGTGCGCTCAACCGGACTATTTCTTCTGTGGTCAACCAGAGTGGGCGACACCCAGCGAGTCCCGCAGACGGATTTCGCCAAGCATCGAATCGAGGAGAACATTTATTGGAGTCGATAGATCGATAGGTTGACATGCTACTATGCACACATATGGTTAAAGAAGTTACAAAATACTGTCGACTTGCACATTGATATGTGAATCTGGCGGACTCTCCAAGAGCCGAGAGCCAAGTCTTTGCAGCTGAGGCACTCAGAAGGCAAAAGACCTTGTGAACAAGCAGGAAGCGGTCTTGCAAGGCCACAACTTGGGTGACTTCTTGTTCGTATTGTGTGAGTAATTCTTGCCATTTGCAAGGTCAATGTGACTGACATGCTGTGACACATTGCAAGGTCAATGTGCTGTGTGTTCAGCTACAAGGTGGACCCCATTGTTTGATGATGTGTTTTTTCAGGGATTACCGGGTCATCCATGTTTTCTTTTGGTAAGCAGTCAAGGTGTTTCGCCTGGCAAAAATTTGGCAAAAGAAAACAAACAAAGCCTTTGTGCTTCGTGATGTCCATGGCGTCTCTGGGAACCGACTGACTGCTTCGATTTCTGCCCCATGACTTACTGACTTGTTCGTCCACGGCTGAAGTCAAGGACACGGATGACTCAGATATCTATACCCAGACACGACTAATGGGACTGGCATATTTACATACATTGACCCCTAAAACCACCCCAATGTAGGTAAATATACCAGTCCCGTGGAGTGTCTGGGTAATGGGTCAGGGGTCATGACTTCGCCCATCACGCTAGAATCCCCGAAAAGAGAGTCATAGGTCAAGAACGCTTTTGGGAGAAAAGGGCTTCGGACTGGGTTTCATTCCATGATCTTGTGGCACATTCCTACTATACTCATAAACCCAACAAAATATGAAGGAGGGAGCGAGAGAGAGAAACCGAAGATCTACGACAGTGGCTGGCCTGAGACTAGTTGTGGCCCCTTCTTCGATCTGGGGCCCCCTGCTATTGGCCTGGTAGTGCAATCCCAAGAGCAGGAAGAGTTTGATTCCTTTAAAGTTTGGAATCATGCCAATGATGGGCGCTCTAGTTGTTCACCTCCAAAATGCAAGGTAGACTCTATAGACATCCCAACTAGCACCGCCCTGCAGATTCATGAAGCTTGCTGTCAATTGCCAAAAAAAAGATCTCCTATTTCCAAGTGCTTTTCGTTTCTTTGGGGGGCGCTTGAAACCGTTGCTTTTTCAAGGCATCCTGCAGAAGCTGGTGGAAGAGGACTCCGGCTTTGGCGGAGGCTCACCCACGGCCTCCGACGGCTTCTCGCGCACGGGGAGCACCCGCTTCCGGCCGAAGAGCGAGCGCCTGGAACAGTGGCCGGAGGGAGACTCCACCTTCAGCCGCCTGGTGTGAGGAATGTAACTCAGTCTGGCGACCGACCCCCAACAGAAGAAGGAAAACAGACCAGTCAACCCAGCCAGGGCCAGGGTGTTTGACTATTGAACGTCATAATACACCTTTATACACACCCATGTTCAATAACCAGTGGATTTGTTCAGACTCTCGTCTATAGATGGGCTTAATGATGTTTTACAGGGTTGGGGTGGCTTGACAGGGTTTGGTCAGTCCTTGAGTCATTTTTGCTGCTGATTTCTTGGGAGCCTCGCGGAGAAACCGACCAGTCCTGATCGAACTCGTCGTAATCGAAAACGTTGACAGCTTACGCAGTCGGTCTGAGACGGACGACGCAGAAACGTGCCCTGCTATTCGGACCACAGTTGGAACCCCTTTCAGCACTGTTGGTTGGTATGAGGAACATGGACAACGGGTGAAGGTTTGCAGGGTTCCAGGGGATCGTTGGAAGGCAGTTAGAGATGAAGATCTCCATGGTTTTTTCTCCGGACCTGCAAGATCCAGGAGGTTTTGGGCGACTCTTGACCATGAGCATCTCACGTGACCAAGACGGAGTTCCAAGACCAGATCTTGGGGGTCCGGTTTTTCCGACGGCCACGATCTGGGTGCTCTTTGAAGGTGCTTGTCACCAGGAGTTTTCCTGAAAGTGTATCCTGAGTATCTACACCGTATTCAGAATAGATGGCAATATCCGGAAACGAGTAGATGGCGCCAGAAAGTGCCAAAAGAGCCTGCGGAAAACCATGACAAAAAAATCATACATACCTATGCATCCTCAAGCATAATAAATGGCATTCCACCCATTCACAGAGTAGACTTGCGCCATCTTCTGCAAAGAACGCTGGTATAAGATGTTGATT